TCTCTCTCTCTCTCTCTCTCTCTCTCTCTCGCTCTCTCTCTCTGTGTGTGTGTGTGTGTGTGTGTGTGTGTGTGTGTGTGTGCGCCTCCCCCCCCCCCTCCCCCGCCCCCTCAAGCATTCCGTAGAGAATGATCCATTCCCCATAATCGGGGAAGATTCGTTCTCTTTTCGAACAGACTCAACCCCCCCGCGCTGAGTCTGTTCGAAAACAGAACGAATCTTCCCCGATTATGGGGAATGGTTCATTCTCTGCGGAATGCTCGAGGGGGGGGGGGAAGGCACACACACACTGAGAGAGAGAGAGAGTCGAAAACGGCGTTTTTGCTGCGCCTAGTGGCGCAGCAAACGCGCCGTTTTCGTCTCTCTCTCTCTCTCTCTCTCTCTCTCTCTCTCTCTCTCTCTCTCTCTCTCTCTCTCTCTCTCTCACGGTGCGATGCACTTCCTTTTTCTCAATTTCGTCTTCGTTCTTCCTTTTTTTTTTTTGAAAGTTTTCTTTGTTTTTCGTTTTTTTTCTTTTGATTTTGTTCACATTTATTGTTAACAAATTTTGATGTCCTCGAAGTACCGGTACTTCGAGGCTCGTCACCGTAGCTGTAGGTTAGCCCTACCGGTAGCTCTAGGGTCCGGCCTTGACAACCCGTAGGTACTGGTGGTTTAAGAATCTCTGACCAGATGTGTCATGGCAGTGTATGTGTCCATAATGACTCCATATCCCAGCTGAAGATTACTTCGGTGAGTGGCGGCGTCCGATACCTACCTGGGGGCTGCTAGTGTCTTCCCCTGAGTAGAATGTACGGTCAATTTTGCTGCATCTCAACTGAGACGTGAGGCAAATATGTATAAGGCTATAATGCCTGTATGTTCTATTGGGGGGAAGACGGTACGTAGTGGCAGTATGGCAGCATATATTTCCATGTTCTAGCTGAAGATTCATTTGCTGAGTAAACCTAGCTACTCACTGCGGGGCTTCTTTCCACTTGTTTTGTGGCGGTGCATCTTTCCATGTCTAGGGAAAGTTTTTATTTTTATTTTTTATATCTCAAAACACACCCCCGCTCCTCCTATTCTGGACGGCAACAGTCCGGTTACTCCTCTGGAAAGCCTGAAAAGCAACTCATGAAGAAGGGGAGCAAATCTGCCAAGGCTCAAGATGCCATTGGTAGTCAGCTGTTGTTACATTGTAGAGGGTGCCAGCTCCTAGCCGGGAGCCGCTCCGCGTACCCAGACGCTGAGGGGGAGACTGTTACATGCACAGATATGCCATGTACGTAATAACCGAGGATCTGCAATGTGATGAAAAGGACAGAATGGACAATGCAGTGCGAGTAGAATCTCGACAGACAATGTGCATTCTCATACATACAAAAGGTGCTGAATAGCGCAGGGAAGACTTTGATACAAGGACTGACCTGACAGGGACTGACCTCACTCACGTAGTAACAAGTAGCAAAGCAGAATGCTAGAATACTGATAACGAGCCCAATCAATGTTTGAACCCAGACCAAACATGCATCAT